TTTTGAGTAGAAATTATCTACACATAACAATGTGTCTCTTTATTTTAAGCAGCCCTTCAATGGCAAGTTTTAACTATGTTCAGTAACCCCCCTTTAGGTAGAATTCCTGAAGTGTAGTGTTGCTCTGCATAAAACAGCCTCTTGTCAAAACAGGGCTGAGTCCCAGAAGATATTTCATGGAAACATCTGCAGTCAAGGTAATGCTGATGTTTGTCAGGGGAGATTCCCCCCATAAAAGCATAATATTTGTTATACTTTGGCCTTCCCTGCGTATATTTCTATTCTGTCAGAGATCTTATCTAGATCTTTTAGAATGGCAGAAATACTCAGCACTTTTAAAAATACTGTAGTGTTATTAAGATCAGGAAAGTATCAGGTAATGACAAGTACTCTCTACTAAGTTCCACCCTCAACTGCAGCCACCCAAATATCCTTTCCAAGATCCTGCTATGCTTAGTCATTTCATAATTGACACGGACCTCTTTAGATTTAAGACACAAGCATGAAAACATTTTTTGTTCCCTCGGGCAGAAAATGGTGGTGGGATTATTGAAAGCTAATGCTTGACAAACTTGCTAGATAAAAGCAGACCCTTGTTTCTAAGTTTATCAAACCAAATAAGCTTTTCTTTTGAGTCCTCACTCTCTCCACACCATAATCAATCTCTTTTGCACCTCTGAGCAAGACTGAGCCAAGAGAATGATTCCAGATGTAACAGGTGACACCCCTCAGTGGGAATATGTCATTTATTTTTATCAACATACTAGTGGCTCGGTGCATGGATTTGTGCACACTGAAAGGAAATTCATTAGAAGGTGACCAGTGTGACTGGGCAAGATGGGCGGACATGCCGTGGAGCCAACCTCCTGTGGTCCCTCCCTGGGGCAGTGCCAGGGCTTGAATGGTGTCTGTGGACTGAGCGGGGTCCCTCTGGCAGGTAGAGTCCCTCAGCCTGGCCTGTGGGGATCGGGCTGAAACTGGCTCTCTGAAATCCCCCAAGAGGTCCCAGAGTGCAAGAGGGCACTCTGCAAAGTTGCTGTCACTTGGCAGCTCCTGCATTGAGCGTCTGCCCCCTGGTGGTCAGTGCGCATCATACCTACAGACTCGTTAGCTGATTGCTCAGCCTTTTATATATAAGGAATGAGTTTGTACCTTACCATTTAACAGTAATTAGAAAGTCATTTTTGAGGAGCAGTCTATTTAAAAGATAGTGCTGGATACTTGACCCTAAGAAAACAGAGATGCAGGTAAATATTCATGTACAGGATGTTCAACTCAGTGTTATATATATTAGTAAAATTAAAACACTACATGTCCTACAATATGATATAAACTAAGTAAATGAAGTTCAGCCATATGGTGGAATTCTAGGCAGCTATTCAGATGATTAAAAGCAGTGTTAACGACATGAGAAAATGCTCATGATTTATTTAATGGGGGGAGGGGTGCATGGTTGCCAAAAAGAACGCTTATAATGACCTTCAATTTTAGGGGAAAATGTGTAGGAACATTTTATATATATTGGCAAAGCCCTTCTGCCAAAAGAGTGCCAGGAACACACCAGTAGCTGAACAAGCTAGGTTTATTTTTTTCATTGCGGTGAGGGAAAACACGTACCGCAGAGAACTGAGGGGTGTCTCAAGAAGGTATTAGAAAGGACTTGCAGGATTTGGGCTTGGGCTAGGTGATTTTAAGGAAGGTTTAAGGCAGCAGGGCTTGGTCTGATTGGCAGCTGTCAGGATGCCGGGGTAGTTTTATGGTTGGGTGCCTTAGTAAATCTTTACCTAAAAGGAGAAAAGACTAGATCGAGTCTAAAGCTATAGTTTGTTTAAAAAAAAAAATAGAATAGTCTCTCTTCTTAGCCAGGATAGGGACATGTTTGGTCATTTCTGTAATTTGGAGAAGGTCCATGTTTGTCTGTATTCAGGCATGATTATGAAGTGGTTTTAATTTTGTCTGGATCCATCACAGTTATAGGATGACCTTATCTGGTATCAGTGTTGTGGGGAATGGGTTTTGTTGAAAGTTTAGATGTGAGTCCCATGTCAGTTCTTAACACCAAGTCCAGCTGACAACACCAGGCCAATGTTAGATGGCAGGGGTTGATTTTATTTTTCACACACACATATTCAGAGAAGACTAGAATTATAACATATATCATCTACTATGTGTTTGTGATATTCTATGCCATATTTTAGGGCCTTATAGCTTTTTAAAAAAAATATTTTTCTATTGAGTTCAGAGAGGAAGGGAGAAGGAGAGAGAAAAATAGAAACATCAATGATGAGAGAGAATCATTGATCGGCTGCCTCCTGCACGTCCTCTATGGGGGATCAAACCAGAAACCTCAGCATGTTCCCTGACCAGAAATCTAACCATGACCTCCTGGTTCATAGGTGGCTCAACCATCAAGCCACACGGGCCGGGCAGTGCCTTCTGTCTTTAAGCCTATGTAATCCTCACTACAACTCTATAGGATGGATACTGGTATTATTGCCATTTCCCCTAAGTGTGGCATAAAGAGGTCAAGCCCTTACCCAATGCATCACAGCAAGTGGTGGAGTAAGGATTCAACTTAACGGTTATGGAACCAACAGCCTTAACCTTCATATCGTGTCGTCTGTGCGTACAACAACTCATCAACAGACGTTACCTTTCCAAGGCGGTGGGAGTACAGAGATACAGAGGTCTTTTTGTTCCCTTCTTTTTCTTGTTATTTTTAATTTCCCTACAATTAGTATGTATTCATGTGTAATCAGAAAAGGAATAATTTACTAATATCCTCATGGAAGCTCTGGTCCCAAGGTCACTGTCCTAAATGCAAACTCAAGTCTTTGGTGGTGGCAGTGCTCCCCTGACTGACCAAAAGAGGAGACAACGCCCTCTCTTCTCTCTCTTGTTCCAACTCAATTTTGACAATGCTAATGAGATGGTGCGCAATAAAAAAAAGTGGCAGAAAGATCAGCTGGCAGGCTGTTGGCAGGCAGGGTGGAAGTTTCTCCAGATATACGGAAGGACAATTAGGAAGAGTTGGGGGAACTAGGATCAAATGCCTCAGCCCCAAAGGAGAGACCCTTTTTCCCTGTGGGAGGACAACACTCCCACCGGGCCAGCCAGCTGGGTTTCTCCCGCTCCAAGACTCAGCCAGGGCTGGCAAGGATGGGCTAGAGGTTAGGAGGGAACCATTGGGAGGGACAAAGGCTTTGGAATACAATGAGTTTTGCCAGAGAGACCTGTGGGCTGGTTTCCCTTCTCACCTCTGCCCCTGAGCTAGCATCAGAGCACAGGAAACATCTCTGTTTCCTCCCCATCAGAGACGGACTTGAGGAGTGCCCCCCCCCCCACCAGCTGCCCCCCCCCCCCCAGCTCAGCCCTAAAGAAGTAGCTCTCCGTATTCCCCGCTGTAGCGGCGCACCCCCCCCCCCTAATTTCTTCCCCCCCCCCCCAACCTCCCAACCCCGCCGCCACCGCTGCCTTTGGTCTAAGGGCACCCACCCTGTCATTTAGCACCGTGGCTGCTCGGTGGTGGGTGGTTTCCCAAAGCGTGTGCCCAGGCAGCCACTCCGCTCCCCTGGCAGCTCGCAGGGGCACAAGTCAATGAGGCTTTTCCCTCCGAGATCACCGTGAATCAGCAAAGCGCTGCAGAGCAGCGGCGTGACCGCAGGCAGAAATGAAGATGCTGGGGGAGGGGCACGAGTGGAGCGCTAACAGGGGGTTTCTAGCCCCCCCCCAATATGTACCTCCAGGGGAAGGCAGGACGGAGTGGCATGGGGGGGTGGGGTGCTGGCTGCTGTTGCGGGTGAACTTAGGCGCCTGAGAGGAGCCTTTGGAAGCAGCGAGCAGTGCAGTGCGGGGAAGAGCGAGGCTAAGCAGAGAAAGTGATGGAGCGCACACAGGCTGAGCAGAGCGGCTGCACCCCAGGGCTGGGCGGCGCAGCAGTTGGAGGTGTCGCCAAGGGAATATGGGAAGGAGTGTCTAGTCTGATGGAAGGAAGGCGAGACACCAAAAAAGGAGGGTTTCCCAGCCCAGGACTTCCTGTTTCCAACGTGCAAGTTCCCAAGTTCAGTTTGAGAAGTGCAGGGCCGCCTGGCATGGGGAAGTAACGCGTCCCCAAGTCGTCGCGTTCTCCCATCTATTTCCCTCTCCCTCGCCCCATCCCCTCTCTTCCTCTTCCTCCTCCTGGCCCCGGGCCCTCTTCCCTGGGCTTTGGTTAATATGCATGTCCACGATCAGGAGCGCGGGCCACAGCCCAGGCATCGCGCCTCTGTGTGCGGCTTGACCCCTTCGTATGGGGAGGCCACGCAGGAGCTAGAGAGGCTTGGGATGCGGAGGCTGAGGGCTAGGAGAGGAAAGCCTGGGGACCCCCTCGCCACGCCCCGATCCCCACCCCCACGGCCGGAATGAGCGACTCTGGGGCCCAGACACCAGGATCCGGCAGGGTCTGCGCTGCAGTGGCTGCCCCCGGGGTTGGGAGCGCGAAGCGCAAGGCGCTAAATGGTACCTGTGCTTGGCCGTTCCCGCCGCTGTCGCTCTATCCCGGCCCCAAGCCGGGGCCCGCCTTCTCGGGGAATTCTCCGGAGGGGGGGTTCGAGGGGAACGCTGATAGCCCGAGGCCGGTGCTCACACGCACACGCCCAACTTTGGGGAGCCCTCGGCGCCCTGGGGCTCCCCCGCGCCCCCTGCGGCTCGGCGCGCTCCAAGACCTAGACCGCTATCTCTCCCGGTCTGAGCTAAGGGGACCCCCACTCCCCACGTTCGCGCATCGTGAGGAGGAGACAGGGGGGCGGAGAAGAGAAGGGGAGTCACGCCACGGACTCCCAGACGAGCTGTTCTCCAACATTCACACCCGCACGGGCGCCCGCTCCAGCCCCGCCTCGCCAGGTCCCCCAGACCCGCCTGTGACGACAGAGGGGGGAGGGGGAGGACGGCGCGGAGGAGGAGGAGGAGGAGGAGGAGGAGGAGGAGGAGGAGGAGGAGGAGGAGGCAGGGCGGAGAGCCCAGAGTCTGAAAGCACCAGAGCCCTGATGACCCACTGCTCCAGGGACTGACCATTAGCACCAACACTTTTATTACTGGGGGGACGGGGCGGGGAGGTTGAGGGGCGCGCAGCGGACCTGCCCGACCACGATCCCTTTGGAGCGATCCTCAAAGAGGGTTTGTATAAAGAGCCTCCAACAGGCGCCTTTGGGGGGACGCACCCCGCGGTCCCGCGGAAACTGCAGCGTCGGGATCTTTTAAATGGCTCTTACTTGGAGGGAGGCGTGATCCCCACGTTCGAGCGTCTCCGCTCCCCGCCCCCCTCCCCGCACCCGCCAGTGCGCGCCGCCACCTGAGCTCGGGAGAGAGAGCGGGGCGCACGCAGGCTCAGCCGCCTCCTCTCCGCCTCCCTCCGGGGGAGCTGGGCGCGGAGGGGGTCCGCCCCATGCCCCCGGGAGAACTCTTTACTTTTTGTTTGGGAAATCGGGGCCGTTTGTCTCCATCCCCGGGTCTCCCCGGAGGATAACGGGGAGGAGGAGGCGTGAGCGGCGGGCCGGGGGAGGGGCGCGGGGCGGGCAGGGACTGGGTGTAGCCTGGCATCCTCAGTCCTCGTGTTCCTAGGCTGGCGCGCCGAGTGCTCCGGGATAGCGCCGCCGCTCCCCGCGCCACCCCGTCGTTGGCCTTCGGGTCGGGTGAGTGGGGTCATGACGCGCCGCGGGGGCTGCCCCGGGCCCCTCCCGCGCTGAGCCGGGCACCGGCCCGGCCGCGCGGAGCCCCTCGGGCGGGGAGGCGGCGGCGGGCGGGGCGGGCGCCCGGGGGAGGGCGGGGTGGGGGCCGCGCGGAGGCCGCCAGGCTGGGGGGCTCCCGGGGCCGGCGGCGCCGAGGGCCGGAGGGCGTGTCTCCGGCCCGAGGGGACCCTCCCGGGGCGCGGCGCGGGACTCCCCCCCGATGGTGGCGCCGCGGCTCCGGGAGAGCTCCGGGTGTCGCCTTCGCCTTCGCCGCCGCCGCCGCCGCCGCCGCCACCACCGCGGGCGCCACCGCCGCCGCCGCCGCCGCCGCCGCCCGAGCCCGCGCCGAGCCCGCGCCTCGCCCTCCTCCCGCGCCCGCTCTGCTCTAGGATGCTGCGGCAGGTCCTGCACAGGGGCTTGAGGACGTGTTTCTCCCGGCTCGGCCACTTCATTGCCAGTCACCCCGTCTTCTTCGCCTCGGCGCCCGTGCTCATCTCCATCCTGCTCGGCGCCAGCTTCAGCCGCTACCAGGTGGAGGAGAGCGTGGAGCACCTGCTGGCGCCCCAGCACAGCCTGGCCAAGATCGAGCGCAACCTGGTGAACAGCCTCTTCCCGGTCAACCGCTCCAAGCACCGGCTCTACTCCGACCTGCAGACCCCGGGCCGCTACGGCCGGGTCATCGTCACCTCCTTCCAGAAAGCCAATATGCTGGACCAACATCACACCGACCTGATCCTAAAGGTGAGAGGGGGGCGGGCGCGGGCAGCCTCTGCGGGCCAGCGGCTGGGGCTGGCCGGGCGCGGGGTCCAGGGGGCACAGCGCCGCCTCTCCTAGCCTGGGCGGCTGCCGCAGGGGCTCCTCTGCACCTCGAGGCCATCTGGGGAGCCCCCCAGCATCCCGGGCGGGAGTGTGCGGGTCCAGACCCGGCTCAGCCCCGGCCGCCGCCGTCGCCACCCAGACAGCCGCTGCAACAGTTGGGGTGGCGGCAGCCGGGGTGCCGCGGTCAGTGCGCTTGTTTTGGTTGCAGAGGTCTGGGGGTTGGGCGGCTTTGGGGTCACTGGGCCGGGAAGGAGCAGAGCAAGACGATACGTACTCAAAAGTCCTGCTAGTTGGAAACTAAATACGATGCAGGAGACGGGATTCCGAGACACCCCCTCCCTTTCTTCTTTTCTCTCCCTCCTGGCCCAGGGAGCCTTTGGGGAAGGGCTGTGTGGAGGGGCAGTGAGGAGCGAGGGAATGCGAGGCGGGATGGTGAGGAAAACGCCTTCCTCCCTCCCACCCACCCAGAAAGAAGTGCGGTCCCTGAGGAGGACAGGGGTCGCCCTGCTGCCCTCTTCCCGGGAGCGGGAGCGGGAGCGGGAGCGAGGTAGCCATCTCTGTCTGCTGGGGTAGGACATGATGTTTGTAATTCACAGGTATCTCATCTTTCCGCTCCTCTCCTCCTCCGAAATGCAGAAACTTCCTGGGGAAAAGAGGGGATTCCGCGGATTCGCTTTTCTTGGGGCGCATTGGGGCGCGAGGGGAAGGGGGGAGGGGCAGAGCCAGAGGGTGAGGAGGAGCGCCAGGCTGCGTGGCCCTGCCAGGAGCACAGGGAGGCCAGCAGCCCGTCAGCGGGTGGCTCTCACAGACACAGGCACAGTCATCAGCCTGCGGTGGGAATGTGGTGTGAAAAGTGAGGTTCGTGGTGATAACTTTCTGGAAGTTCTTAAGCAGAGGAGTGGGGGCGAAAGGTGGAGAAGGGGGAGACTTTGGGGGAGAAAAGCAAAAATAGGGGAGACGAGTCCATGCAAGTCCCTGGTGGGCATTATGGGGCTCCTTGACATATGGTGCTTCCCCGGGGAGGGCAGAGCGGAGCCAGTCCCAGGTGGAGCCCTGGGCAGAGAGATTGGGGGGGGGGGCGCTTTTGTGTGGGTCTCTGGTCTGGAGCTGGGATCAGAAGCCCTTTAGATTGCTAGTCCTCTTAGCCCAAGAGGAGTCAGCCAGTGAACCTGGGGGACTCTGTCCTTCTCTTTTCCCCCAAGGGTAACCCCTTATCCCCAGAGACCTGCTAATTTCCCTCCCTCTGTCTGTTGACACATTATCCATCAGTGATTAGTAATGATGGGAATCTGACTAGGGACTCCATGGAATTAGGGCATTCCCACATCCATGGCACACACGTTACACATACTCATCACAGAGCCTTACTACCATGAATCCCAAAATGTTTGCTTTTCTCGCGATTACATTTCCAACATCAAAGTGCCCCCCCACACACACACCCCAATACCTCACTGAGAGTATTTGGGCACACAGACAGAGACAGCTCCAAATGCTTTCTCATGAAAATACGTAGTAGTTTCATCACAGGCTGAAGGAAACTATCCTTTAGCCAATCCTGACAGTTGGAAAGCTGCCCCATGTTTTGCCAGAGGATCTACTAAATGATGTTTCTCTTTGTACCCCCCCCCACCCAAGGTGATGTTTCCACTGGCTGCCCCTCCCCCCCCCCCACAAACCCCCAAGCCTGTGTGATGGGCAATCACCAATTACATTCACTCTCAAGGTTAATGAGACATCAAAAGGCACATCAGATCTCTGCTAAACTGGCCTGTTTGTCTCCGTTTTGACTTTGATCTGTTCAAGACAGAAACCGGTATTCTAAGAGAAAGTTGGAGAGAGGAGGAGGCTGGCTTACCCTCCATGTCTAAAGGGCAGCTTGAAAGGACAACAGTCTTGCCAGCGAATTGCTGGGTGCTTTTTCATGTGCTAGGTGTCTGGGAAAAATCAAAACTCAGTGGCACAGTGCTCAGAACTGATTTCCAGCCGTTGGCTCTCTGGTCCAATAAATTCCAACAGCTTATAAAAACACAGACTTAGGATACTGAGGGGGATTGCCTTTGATTTTATGTATCCGTGTTTTTCTTTCTACATCCAACTCCTATACTCGGTAGGTATGGAGACGGAGGACCGAAAAAGGGACCGTCAGTAGTCATGGTAATGTAAAGTGCGAGAATGAGCACTTATTTTTTCTTTTCTTTCTTTCTATTAGAGGCATGATGAAGACGTGTGTCAGGAGTGGGATCACTGTGTCTGCCCTTACTAGTGTCATGCTGATACTCGGTTGCTGGCATCAGGGACAGCACTGACAGTTAACATTGTACACAACCCCAGCCAGCCCCTGCCTGGTTTATTGCACTGCGTTAGAAGTGAGGTGGGCAAAGCGGAAGTAGGCTCAAGGCACTTTCAGGCCCCAGTAGGAAACTAGAGGAAGTAACTTCCGGGCCATGTCCTTCACGCCTCATAGCGTTCTTGGTCGTACATCAGATTCCCATCAGATTCCAACCTCAGGCTGATTCAATGAAGGAGACCCTTCTTGGGATATTAGTCCAGCTACTTTATAACATTTTATTGACTTTTTACAGAGAGGAAGGGAGAGGGACAGAGAGTTAGAAATATCAATGAGAGAGAAACATTGATCAGCTGCCTCCTGCACACCCCCTACTGGGAATGAGCCCGCAACCAAGGTATTGATACATGCCCTTGACCGGAATCGAACCTGGGACCCTTCAGTCCACAGGCCGAAGCTCTATCCACTGAGCCAAACCAGTTAGGGCTAGTCCAGCTACTTTCTGATCTAAACTGGACTAGACTAGGATGATGACAAAAAATAAAAACCCAGGTTGATTTTTTAAAAATATAATTGCGAGTATCACAGAAAAAAAAAATCCACATTTGAAAAGCAGCTGATCTGATTGGGAGGGGCTTTCTCAAATTTGGGCAAGGGATATGCTTGCCATCCTCTGACCGTGCAGCATAGAACTGGGCCCCAAACTATGAGGGGGGACTGGACTCCCCCAGTGGTTTCCTCTGCAGGCAGTGTGGCAAAGATGTCATTTTGGATGAAAGTTGGGTAGAGCCTGGTGATGCTGGTAAGGGATCAGCCATTAAGTTCTGAACCTCTTTAAATAAATGTTGATCTTCAAAATCTCCTTTTCACCAGAAGATTAAATTTAGCTCATTATCATATTTTAACAGAAAATACACGATGTTTCTCTCAGAGCAAATTTCTGGGTAGTGTCTCAGGAGCTTAAATAGAGATGTTCTGTTTTTTATTTCTTAATCATCTAAAATGAAGTACAAGAAGGTCTTGTTGATAATTGATCTGCGCTGTGATCAAGATGATACTTGGTTTATTCCAGAATCATCTGTGGAGAGCGAGGAACCAGTTCAGTCCGCTCTTTGAAATGATGCTTTCGCCTTTATGACACTTTATAAAATGTAAACATTAGGATGTTTAGATACAGTAAGTGCCTCGGGGTAGGCAGGAATGCGCTGTGGTTCCATTTTACAAGTGCGAATACTACTCTTTAAATATTAGCTGATTTGTCCATGAAAAAAGACAAAGAGAACCAGGACTGGCTGGGACCCAGGGTGTTTGAATCTCAGCAGTGCTCTTTTCACTGTAAAGCACTGCCTTCCATATGATAAACTACTTGAATGATTTAAAATGAAGGATATTTGACCAAAGTCTCTTACTCATCCCATACCTTTGTTCTTAACAGTGGTTAGTGGATTATAAGAACACCAGAGGCCCGGTGCATGAAATTCGTGCAAAAGTGGGCCTTCCTTCCTACTTCCTGGCTTTGCCCAGAAGGTCATCCGGAAGCGAGTCTGGTCTAATTAGCATGTTATGCTTTTATTATTATAGATTCTCTTGACCTATTCTTCCTGATGTCAATGAAAAGTCACAGCGTGATGGGCAAAAGTAGGCTTCCAATGTTAAGTATTTGAAACGGAATTTATCATTGTGTTATTATGCATTAATTATTGTATTCTTTTCCATATGAACAACTGTAAACCTACGTTGGCCCCACCCTGTACAGAAATTCTGAGTACCCAAAGCAAAACAGAAAGCATTTAGAATGAGCAATATCCAAAGACAGAAATATTGTATCTTTTACTGAAAAAAAAAAAATCTCTGGATGAGGAACGTGGTAATTGGAAGTGTGAGGCTGTTCATTGGCCAGGTTCAGGTAGACTCAGCTCTAGTGCCTCACACAGTCCCTGGCACCTCATGGACCCTCAGTACATACTTGTCAAATGAGCCTGCCCTGCTCTGGCCGGCTTGGCTCAGTGGATAGAGCATCAGCCTGAGGACTGAAGGGTCCGAGGTTCGATTCCTGCCAGGGGTACATGTCTGGGTTGCGGGCTCCATCCCCAGTAGGGGGTGTGCAAGAGGCAGCCAATCCATGGTTCACTCTCATCATTGATGTTTCTATCTCTCCTCCCTTCCTCTCTGAAATCAATAAAGAAATATATTTTTTTGAAAAAAAATCACCAGCCCTGGTTTACTCAGAGCCTTATGTGGTAGGTAAAGAAAATTCCCCAGAAACCACTTGAAAATCGATTTTCAAGAGGATATTTTTATTTCTTCAACTTTGCAGGCAATTGATAGGCTTCTTTTTTTTCCAAGAAACCATTTCTCTGTCCTTGTTAATCTCTGTAAATTTCAGGTTTGAAATTGGGTAGGTTCTTTGCAGGATTTCCGCCCCCCCCCCCCCGACCAAGGGAAGGACACATCACTAAAATGCAGGCGTACTTCTTGTTCAAATACCGGGTTTCTATTTTATTGAAACTTTTTATGTTTTCCAAGAAAGGCAGCATAATTGCTAGCTCAGGGTCACGGAGACCTGGTAGCTGGATGGGGATCCCAGCTTTTTCACGCACTGCCTCAGCACGTCCCATCCTTAAAGGGACCA